AGAAATCACTGGGGACTATGAACGGGTCCTCTTGTTGTGGCATGTGAACAGGTCAGAGATGGGGTTGGGCAGACCTTCTTTATGAGAGCTATGTAACCTTCCAGCGCCCTCTCTTTCCTGTGCAACGAAAGACTGACTTCGGCCGTAATCCTAAACACATTCACAAGTAAAAGCCCCATTGATGCCAACTGCTGCCAGGGTTGTGCCCTTTGCTACCAAGAGACGGAGTTGCTTTATCTCCCATGACCTCTTTTTTGTCCACCACTTCAGCAGGCTCTCTGCACCACAAAGAACAGCATTGCTGGATTATGTACTGACCTTAAGGAAAGAGTGATCTAACCAACGGCTACAATTTTCCTATTCAGGGTGTCCTGTTTAGCGCGTCTGTATCAAGTGATTCTTGGTTCCCGGTTCTCTTCTGTTCATTGTCTGGGCAACTGGTCATGGGTGTCAGTTTTAAAAGCTTTCAAAATGCTTTATTCATGGACTGTAGCATGTATGATAGCTGGCATTTTTGCATTATTCAAGGAACTGTGAAGGTTGCTTTGGTAATTGTGTCTTTGCCATTTCAACAATTCTTTCTTCTTGCATCATGAAGGCCCACCATTCCATGTATCTGATAAAGTGAACTCTAGTCCATGAGACCATTTGCCACATGGGCACTGCAGTCCAAACCCCATTGGCACTTTGTCAGGGGAGGCCTTGGATAGAGCAGATGTATCCTTCCACCCAGATCTGCTCACCTCTGCCCATGGTGTGAACAGATGGGCATTTTGAAATGGCTCCAATGGAATCACCACAACACCAACCTGCAGAAAGCCCTGAAACACAGTGTTCCAGGTGCGGGGAGTGGCCGAGCCAGGATCTGTTGGATTCCAATCTGCCCATAGTGCCAATACACTGGGCCCAATCCTGACCGAAGACTGGTGCAAGCAATTGGTCTGTCCTTCCACCTCCTGTCTTTGCCAGCGGGTGGATGCTGTGATGACCCTGCTGTTTTCTTTTGCCCTGCAGCAGTCATGATTTGGATTGCACCGTAGATATATAGTCTTTAGAAAGCCTGCATTTTGCTGTAACAAACACAGCTATCTTTATTGAATTGTGTTGTGGCAGTTGGAATGTCGAATTGGAACCCCGGAAATTTCTACTCATAATGAGTCCCGCTGTATGGCCTGAGGCAAGTCACACTCTCTTAGCCTAACCTATCTCAGAGCTATTGCAAGGATAAAATTGGGCGACTCTTTGCTACCATGATCTCCTTAGAAGGAAGGTGGAATATAAATGCATTAAATAAATAAATAGTACTGCTAACCTCAGACACATGTGTTAAAAAAGTTATGTCAACCAAAGAGTGCAGGAAATAACTTTTTATTTTGACCTAGGAGTTAATTGTCCATTGCTTTTGCCATCTTGCAACTTTTTATTTTTTATTTTATTTGTGTGTGTGTGTGTGTGTGTGTGTGTGTGTGTGGTTAAGCTGCAGAGCTTAAAATGAATGCTGAATATGAGGGAAATGCTCTTAGTTCAAACAGAGCTCAGACTTTTCAGAGTTTCAAGATGAATGCTGCAATATTACTACTATTACTATTACTACTACTACTACTACTACTACTATACTACTACTATTACTACAGCATTCATCTTGAAACTCTGAAAAGTTTTCGCAGCCACTCTGGGTTGACTTACAGCATACCTAAAAACAAAATAAAAACATCAAGGATTAAAAACAAGCAAGAATAGCTTTCATTTTAAGTGTGATGCTGGCTGGACCAGTAAGGCGGTGTAGAGATTATACCGCACTCTGGTGAGACCACTATGGATTCACACTTGCCCTTTTCTTTCGTAAGGAATACAGCCTTCCTCATATAATTGAGTTACAGAGCAACTGATGCTTCCTGTTTTCAGCAGAAACGCCGGCTGTGCAGAGTGCTGATTGGTTGGCCCTTGTGGCAATCACAAAGCCTCATCTCTCCTTCCTTCTTGCTGCCAACGTTTTGTGGTTTATTTTTGAACAGCATAAAAACTGGGTAAAAAGCCAGGCGTCTGATTATTATTATTATTATTACAGCAAGCCAAAAAACCCGGCTGAAACATGGGGAGGAGACATGAAAATCAGTGCTCGATTAGGAGCCCGATAAGAGTGTGATTTAGGGGACTGGTGAGATTTGAATCTACCTCATTTAGCAACAGCAACAATATATACTTGCTCCTATAGATAGATACATACATATACACTGTAACGTTGCAGATAATTGCTTATGTTTTTCCTACTTGAATACATTTCTTCCTTTTCTAAAACATTATTCCAAAATAGCAACTTTTCCTCTTTTGTTTAAATTTACATTCCCCTTCTGCCTTGCAGGAGTTTTGTAGAGCCAAGATAATGGATGATTACATTCCAGTTTAGGGTCATCACATGCATAGTTCTTTAATTTCAGTGACACTTGTACAGAGACGTTACTGATAGTGTGATATATCACTGCCATGAAACACTTGTGCGTTTTCAGATGAGAATTAAGACATTCCTGCATTGAGTGGTCAATAACATGTTAAGTCCATCCCTTTAAAATGTAAGTGCAGTTGATTCCACACAGAGTTGGAACTTTATTCTGCTGAATAGTTTGATAAATTAGAGGCTTCTCTTCTGGGCTCGTAAACACCTTAAAAAGTCATTGCCAGCTCTCCCTGTAATTTATTATTATTAATCTTTATTAAATTTGTATACCACCCTTCATCCACAAATCTCGGGGTGGTTCATAACATAAAAATGCAATATAAAAAAAATACAAAACACATAATAAAAATATGAGCAAAAACAAATCAATAATTTCCCTCAACAACACATTTAACAGGGTATCAGGTGTCCATCATTCAAAGGCCTGGTTGAAAAGTAACATTTTTGCCTGGCGCCTAAAGGTGTATAATGAAGGCGCCAGACGAACATCCGTGAGGAGAGCATTCCACAAACGGAGCCACGGCAGAAAAAGTCCGTTCTTGTGTTGCCACCCTCTGGACCTCCCGTGGAGGAGGCACATAAAGTATTGCAATTTGTGGCTTGTGCCCTGAATGCTTGACACAAGAGAGCCTACATGTAGTATCATAAATCACAGAGCTTTCTTAATATATTGCCTAATGACTGTCTTGGGCAGGAAAAGTAATCTTTTTTTTAAATGCACAGTCCAAAAGAACAATTAATATTAGGGGCTTAGAATTGTTTTCCAGAAACCCACACTGTAAGTTTATGACAGCGCTTTAAAACTTCTTCTATATGTGCATGTATTTGTTTCTGATTTGGTCAGTTGATTGACTTTAAGTCTTGTTATACGGAAGAGGATTTTACGTTTCCAAAGAAGAAGAAGAAGAATCTGGCCACATGTAGTTTTGGAAACCCATAGATGAACTTCCAGTAAATCTGCGGTTACACATTGGAATGGATTGTAAAGAACACATTATTTTGTTCCAAAGTCAACAGCAAAGTGTTCTTCTGCAGAATACGTGCAGTACTGTGGTTTTAATTTGTGTGTGAGTGTGTAGGAAGGAGAGAGAAAATCTGGAAGCGTCGGTTAACACGTCAGGGAGAAGGCTTGCTTAAAAGCACTTCTTCCTGACTTGTACGCTTTCCATATGCAAAGAGATCTTGGCGCATGTGTGTGTGTGTGTCTATGCAGGAGGAACAGTTTAAAATATGAAACACTCAGACCAATGTTGTTCAGTGTAGCATTCTGTTAACAACAGTGGTCAGCCTCCGGGCATCTGGTGGTCTCTCTGTCTTCCTTTACTCTAGCATGGGGGTAGACAAATTTGCCAAGATACTTTCTAATCACATGGAACCTTACTCTGGAACAACAAAATATGGACTAGCTGTTGGTTATCAACTTGATTGCTTTTCAACACTACAATGGGTGGAAGCCTCATTCACTGCCCATGAATTATAGACACATATGGAACTATACATTTATAAACTATTTAGGGTGGTGGATGGGCAAGATTGTTGAGGCAGTGGTGACTGGTCAGCTTCAAGTGTGGTTGAAGGAAAAGGGTTATCTGGACCCATTTCATTGTGGCTTCAGTCCTATTTTCAGAACCGAAGGAGCCTTGAGACACTTACTGATGACCTGGAATCATAGAATTATAGAGTTGGAAGGAACCCCCAAGCCGTCTAGCTCCTGCAGTGCAGGAATCTCAACCTCAAAGGAAGAAGAGTCCACCACTTCTCATGGGAGTGTGTTCCACTGTCAAACTGTTCCACTGCTAGCTGGGGCTATAATAGGAGTTGAGACCCAGCAACAGCTTCAGGACACCCAAGTGGGTTCCTCATACCCTAGCAGAATGCTCCTCTCCATCTCATAATGGCTTCATCTCATTTTGAGAGGTGGAAACCCTAAGGCAAATCTTGTAAAATGTATTGGAGGGATGTGTGTGTGAAAACCTGAGAAGTACCGATAATTCTGTAAAGCCTCTGTGATTCTCAAGATTTTTGAGGCACCAGCTGCCATCATTGATGGTAGACAAAGTTAGGCAGCTTCTTGGCACACAATCATTTCAAAATGAGTATAGTCAAGGCCATGACATGGTTTGGTTCGTAAGGAGGAGTTGGCTCAAAGTCTGCTTGAATTGGTCTCTAGTGATTGTGCTAAATTTTGATCAAAGGCTGCCCACCCATGATCAGATTTATTCTGTGAGTTCCAGAAAGATGTGCTTCTAAAAATTAAAAGGGGGGTTCTTGGGATTTTGCATTGGAGGCTCTGGCTTGGAGCCAAATAGAGTGAATGAGTGACTGGAATGCAAAATGAGTGATGGGTTTGGGGTTACACTGGGAGAGAATTAAACCTGTGACTGTAATATAACTCTTTTTTCTTTCATTGTTCCTCAGTATAAAGGCTTTCTTTCTTTTTCTTTTTTTAAGGGTGCTGGCTTTCTCTGTGTTTAGTATTGTGTAGAAAGTCATTTCTCTGTAAGACATGCTTTTACAAGTATTATTTTAAAATTTTTCTTTGCAGGTAACTGAAGACTCTCTATCAAAGCACCTATAGTTGTAACATATTCCCAGAAGGGTGCCCACTAGGCACAAAGAACTACAAAGAAAGTTGATCCGAAGACCCCTGGTGTGGCAAGAATGACTTCAAGTTGTATGATTCCAGTGTTTGCTTTGATGATTGGGTGTTTAGCCTCTGCAGGTAAGTGGCCTCAACGTCAATTTGGGCTTCCAAATGTTGCAAGCACTTGGATTTAATTGCAGGTTGCATTTTTTTGTTAATCGCCGGGAGGCATTTAGTTCAATACCAATGTAAATGTTCCCTGGTGTGACTGCATTAGCAAGAAATAATATTGGGAACCTTGTTATGGTCTACTACTACAGGCAAAACTGTAAATTGTAACAGAATGGGCGTGTTCGTATTATGCCTGTGGGCAGTTGGTGGCTTCCATGGGAAATGTGATATAGAACGATATAGATGTTTGGTCTGATCCAGCAGAACTGCTCTTTTGTACTTAGAATGGTACATTTCCGCCCATGTGTGCTTGCTGTTCATTAAGATTTGTTGGAGCAACTCCCCTTCACATCCCATTCAACATCTGAGTTGTGTTTGCCTGGGACACAAGAGAGACCTTTCTCTGTAGTAATGCCTAGGCTTGGGAACTCCCTTCCGAGAAACGCCTGCCTTGACCTCTCCCTGATTGTGAGCCACCGGAAGGCCAAGGCATTTCTCCTTAGACGGGTGTTAGATCAGCCAAACTGCTCATGTTTTTAAAGTAATTGCTTTTGAGTTTTTAATCTTTGCTGTCCTGGTACATTTTCATCTTTTTGTTGGCTTTGTGTTGGCCACATTTGCACATAATGCTAAACCAAGATCTAGTGCTATCTGCACAAACAGGAAGGAGACCGAGTGAAGCACCAGGCTTGAGAGCTTCTGCCTCCCTTCCTGTGCTGCCTGAAGAACTTTGCTAGTGTTTAGTTTCAGGTTTCATTAATCATGGCTTGTTGTGCTGTGCAAACCAGAGAGTGTCCTTTAAAACAAACACTGGTCAGTTGCAAAGCAAGCCAACTTCCCAACCATGGCCTGATTTTCATGTAACACCAAGGCAAGGTTAATGGAAGCCAAGGTATATAAACCAACAAACCATGGCTCATGAGTGTGGATTTTGTGGTTAATAAACCATGGTTAAGATGCTGGGCCAGGTTTTGACAATCAAATTACATCATGGTTTATAAACCAGGGCATATGCAAACTGGGCCCATGAAGCTGACTTGCTCAAGTAAGCAGATTGTTCAAGTAAGCAGATTGTTTGATGTATCACAGTATTTTAATATTCTTTTGGAAGCCGCCCAGAGTGGCTGGGGAAGCCTAGCCAGATGGGCGGGGTATAAATAATAAATAATAATAATAATTATTATTATTTGCGTTAAACTATGATGTCTGATTCATATGCAAAGTTAAGCCAGGAATCTCTGAAAGTAAATGCTAGTAAAGTCCTTCTCCAAGCTGGACAGGAGGAACAGGACGAGGGCAGGGGAGAGCCCTGTGGCTTTGGTCGGGCTCTTTCCTGCTTGCACACATGACACTATACCTTGGTTTTAGAGCAAAACTATGAAAATACATGCCGGCTCAAACACATACCAGCAGCAAGTTCATATGTTTTCTAATCCATGGTGTTCTGAAACTGTTTTTGAAGTCCACAAGTGGTTTTTGTTCTGGCACAAGAGTATAGAGTCCAGCGGGGAAGTGTCCAAGATGTCCAAGATGATGTAGTGGGGAGACAGTGGACAGTGGATGGATGAGATGTTTCTCATTGTGGAAATGGTGACCAGCTGCAGGGAAAGACATGTCTGACCAATAAAGTGCATTACAAGCTGGCCTCTTCTCTCTCTCTCTTTTTCATCAATTGCATGGAAAATAATACTGTTTCAAAAATGTGTTTAAACCTTCTGGGACTTTCTCCAGGGTTTAACTTCAACGAAGGCGTCCAGGCAGTGCTTATTTTGATTCGTTAACATGATGTGATGCCTGGATGTTGTAATGATCTTATTTGGTGACAGATAAATATTTAAAAGTAGGCCAAATGTGTCTGAAGGTGATGTGCAGGATATTGATAGTTAATAGCAATACTTAGCATTTTTAACTCCTCAAAGGACTTTACACACATCATCTCACTTATCCTTATGGCAACTTTGAAACGTTAGCCAGCATTGCTCGCCCCTACTTCAGAGAAGTTGGTGGCTTATCCAATGCTACTAGCTGAGTTCATAACCAAAGTGAGATTTGAATTAAAGTTCTTTTAGGCTGCAATCCCATTCTCACTTATGTAAGCCCATTGAACACAGTCAAGATTACTTCTGAGTAGATATATCTAGGGTTCCAGCCTTAATTATTATTTTCTGCTTGCAATTGCATCAAAAATGATTTAGTTGGCTCAGGTAGGATCTTACTCGATGATTTTGGAAAACAGAAGTTGCATTTCATCAGCACAAATAAATTAGTGGTTGTTGGGGAAGGGGAACGAAGTTCACCTCTTGGATATATCTTGAGCATTATTTTAATGAATTGCTTCCCATGAGACATCCCAAAAGGATTTGCAATATTTGCCCTCTCTAAAACAATCTTGGAGGTTGTGGACCTCAGCTGCAGGGGAGGAGTAATCATTTAACTGGTACAATCTTTGGTCCTCAGTTTCCCAGCTCATTTACAAAGGTCACCAGTACCTTGAACATAGCCTTACAAGGTGGATCTTACCAGGATAAGGGGGAAGGGAAATCCATACTTGTATGCCATTTTGAGCCCCTGTGAAGAGTGGCATCCTTTAAGACTTTGGCTGCATTCACACAGCAGTTTATCCAGTTTTCCTGATGTCTCCCTAAGTGCTACCAGTCATGCTGGCTCTGCACTATTTCTACCACCAGAGGAAGCAATGATTCTGAATACCAGTTGCTGGAAACCACAGGAGGGGAGAGTGCTCTTGTGCTGGGGCCTGCTTGAGGGTTTCCCACAGATATCTGGTCGGCCACTGTGAGAACAGGGTGCTGGACTAGATGAGCCACTGGCCAGATGCAGCAGGCTCTTGTGTTCTTACATCCTTGTTGCATCATTCCCCCAAATTATGATAGGTACCAAACAGCCTTCATGTCTTATTAGATAATACTGTATAGTAACAGTATTACTATTATTAAATAGCAACAGTATGACTATGTGTTATTGAATAATACTGAACAGTGGGTCCCCCCCTCCAAACTGGTGGGATAGTGTCCTCCTTACTTCTAACACTAATAAGGTTTGTTTCTTTTTAAAATTGTCTGTGTATGAAAGATAATCATATCTGTTATAGCAGGGTTCTTTTAACAACCGATAGTAATGCTTTCCCTTTTTGAAATCTGTTTTCCCTCTTTCATCAATTCTGTTATTTCGTCCTGATAAGGAAACTGTGTCACATCTCAGTTCTAAAGTCGTGCAACACCATGGTGACGATTGGCATGGAAATGGACAATAAAAATAAACATCCCATTTATGGCTGTGATGTCTTTTTTTTTTTTTTAGCTTTGCTTTTCTGGAAGGAAAATCCTCATGGGCTTCCTAGAGTGGATTTGCAAAAGAAATTAGAAGTTAAGATAGTAGAAACCCCTTGAACAGCATTGTTAATTGTATCATGGGAACTGGATGAAGATAAGGAAATGTTCACCCACTTGTTCTCTCTCTCTCCCCCTTGCTGAGCATCTTCCAGGTTCAATAAAGCTCAACAATTTATGTCACTGTTTCCTTCATTATATTTAGTCAGATTCCATTGGAAAGTAAAAGATACAAACTTGTTTCCTTTCCTGAGGGGAGAAATAGCATGTGACTGATATTACATGGCTTACTTAATTTGAACAACTTGTAAAGACTTGAGGTTTGTTTGTTTTATTATTTTTATTTATTAAATTTCCATGCCACCCTTCATCCAAGGATCACTGGGCAGTTTACAATATAAAAATACATAACAAGGTAACAATCAAAAACAATATCTCCCATTTACTATTTAGGAAATAGTAATGTTTTGCAGGGTGCTGTAAAGAGAGAGATATATTTTTAACATAAGAAAAAAGCACACACAGAGAGGTTGAAAGGTGATAAAATGAATGGGTCAAATTGTACCAGTTTTGGTACACTGGGCCATCAAATGCAGCAATAGAAATGCTCCAGAGGTAATGAACAAGATGCCCTCCAAATGTTGTTTGACTACAGTTCTCATCATCCCTGACCATTGGGCCTGCTAGTTGGTGCTCATGGGAGTTGTAGTCCAGCAACATCTGAAGGGCACCATATTGGCTGTATCTTATACCTGTATCTTGAAGCAGATCCATAAAAGACGATAACCATCAGACTCTAAGGAACCTGCAGGCTATTGAATCCAGCATTTATAGCTAATCTGCCCACATCACCAAGATTATTTTAACTTCTAATATCTGTAATCACCTGCCTTAAGTATCTTCAGAAGTTGGAAAATAGGTTTAGAAATGATATAGAGAAGTGTTTGTTTTCCTTGGAAGCTAGACCTCTGTATTTGAAGATTCTTAAGTCTGAGTCCCCATGGTTTTCTGATATTGCTTGCCTGTTCATATGGTTCTGATATTGCTTGCCTGTTCATATGGTTCTTTCACTTTTAAAGTGTGTATTAAAGATTTCTCTCCCCCCCCCCCAATTTGAGGTTGTTGGTATTGTTTCTGTGTGTCAGAATTGTGCAAGTTATGTCTTGTTTGGCTTTTGTAAAGCTCTGGTTTGCTAGTGGTATATTCTGGGCAAATGGCTCTTGACAAATTCCTCTGTTTTTTCAGAGCTTGCCTGCAGATTTGGTCCCCTGTGGCTTTGATGCAGCAGAGGATGAATAAGAATGCTCACTGAGCCAACATGGAAATTGGGCATTTCGTTAAATCTGACACTAGATTGTGCTAGATGAATTCTCAAAAGCATGATACTACAGGGCAGTAGAACATCTACAGTGGGGTATGTTCAGAACTAGGTATTCAGTGTGTATTATTAAGTTATCCAGAGCACCAAGCCAAAAAAGATGTTCTGCATTGCATTCTTAGGTTTTCCTTTTCTACTTTGCTGCTGTTCTTCTGTTCCACTTCCTATACTGTGTGAAGTATGACTTTGTGCCAAAAAGAAAATTTTGCTGAGGTTTCCTTGAGTGCTACTGAAACTCAAGCAAGAGGAGATTTCCAGAGAGGAAATGAGTTGTGAAATGCTACAAGCCTTTGTACTATGTAATTGCCCTCCTTGATAGTTCTGCTAAGTGATACACTTGAAGATGCAAAACGCTCAGGTGCAAATAATGTGTACTTCATTATGTTATTCCGACAAAAAAATCATGGTTTTTTGTTAACTAGCAAAAATAAGAGAGCATGCATTTTTATTCACTTATTGCAGCATATCTCTATGAATTTTTTTTTTTTTGGAGGAAGGGGGAATCAAGGTTAAAAACAAAAATAGGCACCAGTAAAATCTTACCATCAAAATCAAACTCCAAAATCTCCCCCACAAATGACAGGAAAGCAGCACAGTGAAAATCAATATAGGGCATGGCAAAAATAGTCGTTTTTCAAATGTCAGCTGAAATAGAAAAGTTTTTTACCTGCCTATGAAAGGGCAGCAAGGGGGGTGGGTTGACAATCTGCTTCTGAGCTATGCTCAAGATGCTAGCAATAACTTACAAAACCTTAAAACAATTTGGAACCTGGGCATTTCAAGGACTGCTTCTTCTTGTACTGTTCTGTACTGCAGCTTTTTCCAGGTAACGTGAAGCTGCAACACTTGCTTCCTGGAAGATAGAGGGGCCAGATGGTGAGGTCAGCACACTGCAGACACAGAGGCAGGAGGCAGGATTAGCTCCACTGGTGCAATTGTGGAATGCTGGATTGTCTCCCCAACTGTGGAATGCTCTCGCCAGAGAGACTCGACAGGCTCCATGTTTTTATCTCTATCTTCCATCCATGCAAGCAAGAGGCATTATCAGAGTTCAAGGACCTATTCCAACCAGGCAAGAACTCTCAGGGAGGCTGCAAAGCAGGGCTGGTAAGGGATATGAACTCAGGGGGAGGTGTGTGTCCCGAGGGGCTGCCTTTGGTCCCCGGGCCTGAGGTTCCCCACCCCTTCCATTGAGTATAACAGAACTCTGGAATATAGCACTATACTTATAAAGTGCCTATTTATAATACAGAAGTTGCAATGCAATTTATCCTATGTAACTTACAAAGCAACCCATCAAGCACCAGGAACCTCTGTCCCACAGGAAAAATTAGACCTGGCAGACAGTTATCCTATTATTGTTTAGGAATCAACAGCGGTTGTTTTCCCCAAGCCACACCCATGACATCAGGTGTGGGACATGTAAAGATGCAGCTGCAAAGGAACATTTGGGAGTCTTAAAGGATGCATCTCATTGTTCCTTGGCAAATGGGCTTTACATTTGGCCCGTTTTAAATTTGGCATCAAATGCAAGCAAGGGATTGGCTTCATTTTGGGAGGCAACAGTGCACATCTTTGCACAAAAGCAAGACCAGTTAAGCTAGATGGACTTCCTCCCAGGTAATAATAATAATAATAATAATAATAATAATAGTAATAATTTCATTTCATGCAGGAGTGCAGAGCCCTTATCCAGAATGAATAAATGTATTCCTTGCTAAAGGCCTATACTTCTTAAAAGAATCAGTACAAGAAAAACAGCCATTATTTCCGGCCAATAATGTTAAGAAAAAAATTCTAGCCGATAATGTTAATGATAAAATTAGGTTCTAAATCCACAAATGAAGCAGGCGTTCAGTTTTTGATATTTACAAAAGATTTCTTTTTTTAAAAGAACAGCTGGTGTCTGTGCGCTCGATGCCTTTTATACTTGCCGTATAATCAAAACCTTGAGCAGTGACAACAACAATGTTGGCATAGGCAAATATATTCCAGTGGAAAAGTTTATCATATGCAAGGACTGTGGGAGTTCAATAGCATTTTTTAATGAGCACATCAGGACAGCAATTGTTTTTCCAACAGCAGATGCTTCATTTCTAGCCAACACACTTGGGGCTATATTTTTTACACTACTTCATGTGTAACTTCATTCCTCCTGCAGACAGTCCAGCTGTTTGATAGGTGTGTGTATTCCCCTGTGCGGTAGCCAGTGTTTTACAAGCTGTCAGTTACTTGCGTATGTACTGTCACCATGCTGGTCTCTTAAGCATTTGTCCCCCATGCTGTTTGTTGATCACTTTCTAAGCGGAATATCCCATTTTGGTGTAATATTCAGTCAAGGGTTCATGGCTGGAAAAAAAGTATTTTAACAAGTGAAAAGCAAAAGCTCCCATCTCCAATTCTTACCAATATACAAATAGCATCGGTGAGGTTTGTTGAAAACTCCTTCCAGGCCACTTAGCCTTGTCCATTCATAATGTTGATGTAAATGATAAACAGAGGAAATATTGTTGCCACGATGGAAGGGGCTCAGCAGTGGAACACACTTTGGTTTAGCAAGAAGAGAACTTAAGCATGAGCCTGGGTTCAGGTGGCAATTGCAGACCCTCCAAGAGTCCCTATTTTCTAGGGATAGTACTGGATTTACAGAAACCATTCTGGTTTCTGATTTGACCCTGGAATGTCCCACTTTTCCTTAGGATGTCCCAATTTTCATCTGAGAAATGTTGGAAGGTATGTGGACCAGAGGTTCCCCTAGTGCTGCCATACACGCTTGACTGGGAGTGAGCTCTGTTGAACTCAGTGCACTTGGCTTGGGAGCAAAAATGACCAGGGAGGAGTACAGTGATTGCGAGCTCCTTTGAACTCAGTGCACTTGGCGTGGGAGCACTGAGTTCAGTACAGTGATTGCAAGCTCCAGAGAGTAGCTTACTGTGTTGTGCAAACTAGACCTATAAGGGTAACAGACGCATAATGTAGAAAGAAAGCACTTAGGGTAGGTTGAAAGCTTCCCTAAAATGTATTTTGTGACTGCATTCACAAAATGTCCAGAGACTGATTTTGCAGAAACATAACTGACCTTCTACTGTGTGTGGCAATGTGAGCAAGCGCAAAGTTTGCGGCTGCATTATAAGGAGAATGGTGGACCAGATAAACCTTGGGATGCTCCAGGAAGGCAATTACCACATTCTCATGTATTGCATGCACTGTCATTTTTATGACGCTCTGTTTACAGTTGACCCTGGTCTTCTGTTTTAATAGGCAAAAGAGAGAAGTGAACCCAGTCTGGAGGTCATAAATGCTATAATATGATATGTATTTGCATTAATGGATGCATGTGTTCCAAGTGAACTGTCCAGATTTGTGTAACTTGCCTGGCAGATAACAAAGTTGAAATGTGTCCCAGTGTCTTTGATTTACAAACGCACCCTCCCCCCGAGCCCAGCTTAAGCTTCATATTAAGGATTCTGATGAGGACTTAGTTGTCTGGGCCATCCATCTGCTTCTGAATAAATGTCAGTGTTAGGACATCTGAGTATTTATTAGTGGAAAATTTCCCAAACAGTTCATCCCGGGGCTGCAGTTATCTCATTTAATTTGGCTTTGAAGAACAATGTTGGAGGTAGTTTGTTTGAAGGTTTGTGTTTGGGTGCTAATGCATTTTAAAGCAGCATTTAATTGTTTTGGGGCTTCCCTTATGGTCTTTGAAAATTCATCTTTTTTTATAAAAAAAAAGCCTGTGTTTTGTGGTAGTGGTGATTTGATTGGATGCTGCCTCATGCCAGTTGCTGTTTTTGGATTACTACCAACAATTTTCCTCTTTGAAATAATGTTCTCAGCCATATTGTTCTCATGGCTTGTGGCCACCACTGAACTGACCCTCCCTCTGGGAACCTCAGATTTTCACCCTGGCACTTTCAGGGAAATGAATTTGGCATAGTACTTATCAGACCCTAGAAGAGTCGTAATTTGGCATAAACCTGTCTAACGGGGAAAGGACATGCCAAGCAGTGTCAGTCTTTAGTCTCTAGTGAGTGTCAAGCGTTTCTGAGTCCAGGTTTATGCTCACAAGTCCAGTTGGGGGAGAGAATGAGAGTCTGCTGGTCCACTCAGGACAAAGGTCAGCTTGTCTCTCTGATAACACATCAGATCTCCCCTCAAGCACTTAGAAGCCTTCACTTCATTAGAACATCTGCTTTCAGCTCGCTTTGGCTTGTGCCTGGCTTTTCTCTCTGTCCTGCCAGATGTTTTACCTTCTGACTTCCTGTTGCTTTGCTCCTGCTTCAGAGCAGGTTCTATTAGCAAGCCACTTTGGACTGGGCTGTCATAAAATAATAATAATAAAATATTTTCAGATAATTTTTTTTTAATGAGCACCTTCACATAAAATAAAAGACAGGCCCTGTTCTCAGGATCAGTCTCAGATTCTCACAAAGTGCACATCCTTCATCATTTCTCTTATGAAAGTAGGGACGTCTTAAGGAAAAGCCAGACATTCCGGAATCAAATCAGAAACCGGGACAGCTTCTGTAAATCCAGGACTGTCCCTGGAAAATAGGGACACTTGGGGGTGGGGAGGTCTGAGAGTGACAGGAGCTGTGTTAACCCTTTCTGTTGAGGGACACATGGTTTGGAGTTGGGCACAAGAGGGTCATAGCTGGGGCCTTCATTATTATTGTCCTCTCTGCCATCTCTTAAGTTCTTTAACCACTGATATCCGATCTCTTCTCAATCCAGTTACCTTGCAGATTTTTAGAAGGGCTTTACAATTATTATTATTTTGGCAAAAACAAAGAAAAAGGTAGCCATCTTACTGTTTTACCTATGTTCTCTTAAAAATGCTTAGGCATGATGTGTTATGTAACTGGTTAAATGAGTATGTTCTCCTCCCATCTTTTTCTGTAGCTCCTGCTACATTTTCCTTTGTCAATGTAAAGGATTCAGAAGTACTGGAAAGAGAGGCTGCTGTATGACGAGAAAAATGGTACCAGCAAACTATTAGCGTTATC